CGTAAAATCACATACATTTTAAAATTCAGATTGTGCTTTTTTCTACCACCACAGATACGATTTTAGTAAACAGTTCCTCATTTAGGGTTCATTTTTAGCAAAATTGTGATGCAATATTTGTACTTAAAAAAGAGAAAAAAAATTCTCTTGTCCTCAGTTACGTTGTACAGCACCATCATCGGAGGCACGACTCTCCTGAACGGAGCGGTTCCCCTCATGTTTGAGCTGGCCTGTGAGCTTGCCTACCCGACGGGAGAGGGCGCGGCCAACGGGTTCCTCACCTACCTCAACAACCTGGGGGGGCTCGTCTTCCTCGCCGTCTTCTCCTTCCCAAACGTTGGTAAGAGCACAACCTCCCCCCCCCAACCCATGTGTCTCTTTTCTGTGTGTCCTGTCCGTCTGTGAGTCTGTCTGTTTGTCTGGCTATTTGTTTGTCTGCCTGTCTGTCTCTCTCTATCTCCTTCTCAGTCTCTCTCTCTCTCTCTCTCTCTATCTCTCTCTCTCTCTCTCCCCCTCTTTCTATCTTCTGCCCCCCTCTGTGTGTGTGTCTCTCTCTCTAAATTTCTGAACTCTGGTTATTATCAGCTGTATCCAAAACATTGACCTTTGGCTATATTTCTAATAAACCACTGACCTTTGACTATATTTCTAATAAACCGCTGACCTTTGGCTATTTTTTTGATAAACCTCTGGCTGTCTTATTTCCAAACCACTGACCTCTAAATGATAATGGCTGTTTCTCCAGGTACTATGTGGATGAACTGGGCCTTGATTGGCTCCACCGTGGTGTGCGTCCCTCTCATCGGTGCGCTCCGTGGCCGCTTCAACCGACTGGAGGTGGACGAAGGTGTGCAGACGCAGGGCTACGTGGAACAGGAAGTCAACGTGGAGGCGGACAGCGGGGAGAACGGGTACTCGATCCAGTCGGAAAGCACCAATTTGCTATCTCACTAGTCGTAATTTGGTAACTTTATAGTTTTTGTTGATATATCCAAATTGTTAATACTTAACATTTTTCGGGGTGTTTTTTGGGAGGTGTTGTTTTTTTATAACTGTAGGGGTGGCTCTGTTGGAATGTTTTATGGAAATGTTTTTGTTTTGCCTTTTTGTGAGAGTGTTGATGTGCTGGCAGCTATACTGAGTCCGTATCATATGTGAGGTATGGTTCTCTAGGAATGTTTTATGTGAATGATTAGTTTGATTTGTCTTTTGGAGAAGGTGCTGATGTAATTGTAACTGTAGATCGACTGCTCAGTTTAGGACTTTGTCACACGTCACATTTCAAAGTGGCATATGGCAGTGGAAGTTTTACACCAAGCATGTGAGAATTTTCATGCCCCCATCAATGCAGTTTAGTTCATGAAGGAGGGG